GAGGCTTAGGGGCACCCTGGAGTTTGAGATACCTGTTACATAACTAAAATTAGATGAGGTATCCTCATCATGTCTGACTTAGCTTTTCCCCTCCTTTCTTAAGATTCTGTTCTCTTTATAGGAATTTTAATTCGATTTCAAATAACTGTGTTTAGTATTGAGAAGACTTCAGACCAAAACTGCTGCAGAGGATCTGCTTGATTCTGGGGAGAGGTGGGAGGGGTGTGAATTCTGCATTATTACTCTCAATGAATTATTAATTCAGAGAAGTGATTGGAATATATTAATGATTATTCTTTGCCATGTGAAGTCACAGGGGTGATGTATTTGCATAATTTTCTGAGTCTTAAATTCCTTGTGTTACTAAAATGTAGCCAGGTCCTAGAAGATACACCTATACTGAAGTTTCCTCCAACCTTGTATCAACTTCCGATACCCGCATGGGAGAACGGGCACCGTAATGGAAAATAAATCTCTTAGTCAGGTTACCTCTTCTACATGTTGCTGGATTTTAAATTAATACTGAATGCTTGGATTGGGCTGCAGTGTTGCTGTCAAGTGTCACAAGCTTTTACTGATGCATATGCTTTAGGAAGTGCATAAGAGAGCGCTGAAAATACTGGGATGCTTCTAGTAAATGAGGTTACACTTCCGTGAACATAGGCTGTGTCTTTCTAACTTCATTTTTTTTAATTAAAGAAAAAATGGTTGTAGATTAAGGAACAATGAGGGACTTGGACAGAAAAGTGAATACAGAGGAAAACGTATTTTTACTCTATTTAGAAGGAATGAATACTGTCGAGTTGTTTTGGAGAAAAAACAATTTTAGGTTTTTATTCACTTGCACTTGCAGCACAAGTTGAACGGCATTTTCAGGAAGAGAACTTGTTTACCATGAGGTGTATTTGAAATCAAGATTTTTAGGAGGTTTGCAGTGCAAGTTTTTTTTCCTTGATAATGAAAAAGGGGAGATGAAAAGGTCATGTCAGGAACAAGTGTCTCTTTAGCTGTCTGGTGCTGTTGAAGAGCTTCTGTAGGCTGTTTTATTCAGTATTTCTCCATTGTGAGGTTCCTGCTGTCTGTAGTTTGTGTTCCCATCCCCATCTATAGGCCGTATTTCAGAAAAAGTGTAAATATATATTGAATTGGGTCTATTCAGCAATGCTTGTAAATGTGCAGTACTGTGTGTACCTAAGATGTGGTCAGACTTGCAGACGTGTCCTGTTACACAAGGATGGAGCACTGAGTTGCAAGTGGAGTAGTAGCCTAGCCTGGGATGGCAACTCCCATTTTCCTATTACCAGACCAGGTATTTTGTTTGTGAAAACCAGACTAACTTACTCAGGTTACATCTTATTAAGCGACATGGATTCTGACATAAACTAGTTCTTCACATGGGTCTCTTTAATTTGATGTTCTAATAGGAGCCTGGGGTGACGAACTCCTGCAGTTGATGGGTTGGCTGTGGTGAGCCCTGTGCTGCTATTTATGAATTTGGTTTTGTGCTGCCAGAAGAGGAACCAGGAGGATGGGGGTAATCTTTCTCCAAAGAAGCCCATCCTAGCAGCTCAGGACAGGCTTGCCTGTGGTGTCTCAGAAGAGAGGGACACAGTCTCTCCCCGCTCAGTCCTTGGCCTCTGCTGATTCTTGCCAGCCAGTGACCTATGTGATGACCATTGCCATAACATCTTTTGTTGTGTGGATTGCATATCTGTTAGGCACCAAGTTGTGACACTGCACAGTGCATTTTGCTCAGCCTGCTGAGCACTGGCAGTGCTGGTGGTCGGGGCTGGAGCTGGAAGCTGTAGGACCTTGCTTTGCCCTGCAACGTGTACAGTCGTTTACAGCAGGGCAGAGTGGGTGTGTAATCCTGTTAAATCAAAACCATACCCCTGACAACTGCTGTCAAGTTCTCCAGTTCTGTGCAACTACAGGGACAGTGAAATTTCACATCTTTGTTTTGTCAAATCTCTACTCATACAGATTTAGAAGTCTGGTGCCTGTTTATAGGGATTTGATGGCACTTCCACAGTCAATCAGATTGCATTTTCCACACTTAATAAGAGAGTGTGTGTGTGTGTGTGTGTGTGTGAGAAACTGTATGTGGGATTTTAATTTTAGCCTCATGGATTTTTCATAGTCTGTGATGCTTTCTGGAGTAATGCAGTTACTCTTTCCCTTAGGGCAGGGCTCCAATTTACCTTGTTTTGGTTGCCTTCATGGCAAGTAGAGCAATTCTTTCCCTCTGCTTATTCAGTTTATCTAGTAGTCAGCCGCTGAAGCTATTTGACTGCTCTGGTGGGAGTGCCCAGTATTTAAATCAACAAATACTGAAGGCTTCATTCAGCCAGGTGCCTAATGCTGAGCACTAGAAACGGCAGCTGTGGTTAGGGAGCTCATTTTTTGTTTTCTTCTGGCACTGACTTTGCTGAAATAATTGTTTCAGTGGCCACAGCACAGTCTTTTGAAGACACCAAATGCAGAAAGAGAAACAAGTATTGAAAGAGTGAGTGCATGGCTGTTCTCTCCTTCTGCCTATGACTTTTCAAATAGTTAACAGTGAAAAAACTAGCACTTTATCTTCTCCCAGAGTCATTGCTATCCAAAACAAACCCTTGTGTGCCTTATCAGAGCTTTCAGAACACAGAAGGTGGTCTGGGTGGCATGAGAGAGCAGCAGATGGAGGCAAGGACTTTGAATCATACTTGGAGAGCCACTCAATTACTGCTTACTGAGGTGGGGTTTCTGCCTCTGCCCTGCTGCGTGTGCTCCAGCAAGCACCAGTGAGCTCTTTTTGGAGGCTGAGCCAGCAGTGTTCATGTGGGAGACAGTCACAGGCTGCGTTGCCTGGGTTTGGGGGTAACGGACTGCACAGTGCTGGTTTCTTATCAGGAAAGATGGCCAGAGTTGAACCTCAGGGAGGAGTTACCACTCGTCATTAGGGTTTGAAGGCACTTTCCAGTAAGATGCTTTGTGTCCAACATACGTGGCTTTCAGTTGGAAATAAGGAGCAGGACGAGGACTGTCTGCCTTGTAATTTATGGGTAGGACTAGGCTGGCGCAAGTTGAGCTCTGCAGCAGGTCTTTGAGACCCACCTACACAGAGCCCTGACCAACGTGGTTTGAATTCAGTGTTGACCATGCTTCAAGATGGAGGTTAGATTGGATGGTCTAAATGTATTGCCCAGTTCTAAGATGGCTTTCAGTTTGATGATGGAAATGTTTGTCTTTAAATCTCAGATGAACCCCAAAACCCAGAAAGTTTAGGGAATAGTATGGTTGTTACAGGTACTAGAGTGCATTGCTTTTAGAGTCTAGATCTGCAAATGCTGTTTGTGCAGAAATCGGGATCAAAATGTTTTAGGTCAACCCAGTGGTAAGGACATGGACTGAATGAGTGCATTAAAAAGGAGAAAAAAGGAGATGAGTAGACCTCAAATATTTGGGGAGAGGTGTTTTTATTTCTGATTGCCACTAACTGTAATGGGAATTTGGTGCTTTTTTGGAAGAGCTGTTCTGGTGCAGCGCTGCTTCTCCTCCCTGCTGATGTTTACACTGAGCTGCCTGGGTTTGGGAGCATGCAGCAAAACCCTCCAGAGCTTGGCTTTGAAGAGTTAGCCCAGGTATGTTGGACTTGATGTCCTAGGATCCATGTTCATTCATGCTTCAGCCTTGCATCAGGTTTTTTCCAGGTCGGCAGAGACATTCAGAATGTTGTTTTCCTTGAACGTTTGGGCTTCAAGAGCAGTGTGAAATGAGATGCTGATACCCAGTGTGCTGGTCTGGCTTGCAAAGTTGTCCTCTGGTTTGACTCCAGGCCCTTCTGAATACTGTAGGTGAAAATTGCTTTGATGCAAGCTGGTTATAAATCAGTCCTACCTGTTTTGGCAGCCCACTTGGACAAAGCTTTTGCTGGTACTTCTTGTGATGCTTTTCATAACTGTCTGGCCTCTGGAAGGAAAACAATACAAGGAATCCCTAACAGCAGGTTGATTAATCATTTTACTGATCGTGCAAGTGAATTGTTATCACTCCTGGTTGCCTGGGGAGCTGCTAGTTTGCCATGTCAGAAACCTTTCTGTAAGTACATGGTTTTCATACTTGGATCTTTTTCAGCTCAGGTCTGAAATCTCTAATGGGACAAATCCATTAATGGGGGGAGCATGGAAACTTAAGAAGAGAAGAAAAAACCCCTTTTCACATGGACACTCCTGTTTTATCTGTGTGTGAGCTTTTGGTCAGTCTGCCGAAATCTTGCTGCATTTGAACCATGTAATTATTTTAGTCTAGAATTGCATTTAACATGCTTCACCCCGTGTTTACTCTGGCTTTTGCCTCTGAAATGACACTGTGAATTCTGCTTCTGTGCCACTTCATCCCAGCGGAAGAGACGGTCTCCACTGGACAACATTGCCAGGAGAGCTGTGATTACCAGGGAGTTACTCCTTGCGATGTTTCATGTAGCAGCGGAGCCCTGACGTAGACAGTTGGCTACTGAGCTGTGTCTGTGCCACAAAAGCTCACCCATACAGCTCATCCAGCGAGCTTTTCTTGTGTCAACCTGGCATTGTGAAGGGCTTTGCCAGAGATCTGATTGCAAGATTGGGCAGTGTTTTGTTTGACATGCGAGGTGTTGACATATGGTCCAATAAATGTAGTTATTGGAAAAGCTAAAGATAATATTTACCTTGAAAAAATCCATAATTAGGAATAAATGGCCACATCTGCAGCTGAGGCAAGTGAGAATGAGTGCACTGCTTTCAACTGAGCCGCCCACCCCAATTTTCACCATCTGAGGATCCCGACAAGCTGTTCAGGTAGGTGAATGAGCAACCCAGATGGAGAGAGACAGAGGTGTATATATAGCAAACAGTTTTCTGGAGGAGAAGTTTGCTCTTCCTTAGCACTGTAAGTAGCTGTACCTTCTCTTTGGAATTTTGATACCACTTGTGACCCTTTTCTTTCTCCTCTCTTCCTCCTTATCCTCCCTCTTTCTCCAGGGTTTAATGCCATGGCTGCAGATGAGAGTGCTACAGAAAAGCAAGCGGGGGAACCAAAAATGGCAGTAGATGGTGAAACCAACGGTTCCTGTGAGCACAGCGAAGCTGGTAGCCACCCAAACCCAGCTAAAAACACTCAGGACAATACGAAAGTGAGCCAGCAGGACTCTAGTACTAAATTAAATAGGATAGCAGAAAACGGCATTTCTGAACGAGATGGTGAGACTGGGAAGCAAAACCATATGAAAGCTAATGACTTCACACAGACTTCTGTAACAGGGAGCAATGGATATATTCTAACCAAGCAGATGGCACAGGAGCAACCTCTAAGGACTACCAGCACCTTTGCTTCTCTCACCGGCCATGCTGCAAAAACCCTTCCAGGAGGAGCAAGCAAAGGGAGAACTGTGGGCTCCTTTTCTCAGATGCAAGCCACGATGCCAGCGAAGCTCGGGGAGGGCAGTAAGGACATGGACGCTAAAAAAGCCACCGCTGCTAACACTGAAGTCAAGGTCCACAGAGCACGGAAGACAATGCCTAAACCCACCCCTAGCCTGGTAATGTATATGCCCAGCAGTCAGTGCTGCTGCGATTGCTCTTGGCTTTCTTTGAATGTGTGAGAGGGATACCTTGCTGCATGGGAACACGTGTCATTTGGAGGTGTCCCACTGAGTGGATTGATTTATTTTTTTAAATATTTATTTTTATTTTTTCTCTTCCTACAGAGAGACAGAGGTGTTAAAATAGTCACATGGCCACCATCAACTCTCTTCCCCAATGTGTTTCTAAATACATAATTGATCAATTACCTTCTCCAACAGATGTATGCGAGGCACTAAATGGCCTTTCTCTCTTGGCTGTATTGCTCGTCAGCTGTCTGCTGAAATCCAGAGCTGCTTGTGAAACAAATTAGATTTCTTATAAGTTCAACCCAAAGGAAATTAAGCATAGCGTGTTAACTTGAGGCTTCTCCTAAGCTTGGAAGCTGTCAAGAAGCTGATATGTGAGGCAACTTGATTGCATTGCTATATCATTATAGTAGTAAACCAGATGATGTTTTCTCTCTCTCTGTATGTTGCCTGCAGTAATGCAACTTGTTCAGGAATCTTCACTCCAGAATCCTTAGGGGCGGATTCACCATCACTTAATAAAACAAAGCTCTGCCTTTTTGTAGGAGGCGAAAGAAGATGTAAAATTGTCTGGTGCGTTCATGTTATAGCGCACAGAAATGGGCCTTTCTTTGTCATGGGCCAAGTTTGGGGTTTTTTTTTGGTTCATTTGCCAGTGGTAGGGAATGGGTGCTGGAACAGGCAGGTGTCCACATGAGCACATGGTCTCCAGCCCTGTGACACTTTAGCTACAAAAAACTAGCTCCTCTCACTGCACTGTGTCTAGGGGTGGAGAGAGACTGGTCTTTAGGTATCCTGCACCTAGGTCAAGGAGAGGGTTGGGAGCCCTGCCTGGCAATGTGAGTCACACCCAGAAATGAACAGGAAGCTGCTGCAGCTTTGTAAAGGTTGCTGCAATGGATTGCTGTTAGCTACCAGCGTATTGCGGACCAGCAAGTGCAGAGTGATCCTCAGATGTCACCCACATGTTGCAGCACAGCAATAATATGAAGTGAAGGCCTCAAAGCTGTGAATCGCTGTGGTCTGGAGCAGGGGAAGAGACAAAAAAAAAAAAGATGGGTGGCACCTAGCCAGCCACAGATGGGGAAAGGTGCCCTTGGCTGCAGCACCACCTGTGCCTCCAGAAGCAGGTGGGAGTCCAAAGAGCACATCAAGATTACAAACCTCATGGGCACCCAGCCTCAATAGTAGGGCGCAAACTGCGCCTGCCATGATTTCCCAACCATTCTCCCAAACCATTCATTTCCCTTGTCTTCCCCTGATTGCATTTGAATTCTCTCGCTCTCGCACTCCTGCTCTGTTTTCTGGCTGGCAAGCAGGGAAGCCCAGATGCAATACATGCAGCCTGATGAAAATCTCACATAAGGCTGTCTCTTACCCAAACAAGGTTTTGCAGCTGAAACTGCCTCACAGCTTTCCTCCGGCAGCCTGTTGTGCACTTAAATTAGGTCGGGCAAACCCCCAGACCCATGTGGAATTTGACAGGGAGAAATCCCTTGTGGCTGAGCAATTGAAAGAGGCAATTCCCTTCTAAAAGACAACTCCTAGGTTAGGAGGGAGTGTTTTCCTCATTCATATTTTATGTTACATCAAAAGAATATTTGTACGCAAGCCCTTGTGCTTCAAGGTTTGTCTCTGGAAAGCTGCATGCAATGTTTGTGAACACTTGCAGCACTTGGTTACATGAGTTGCTGTCGTGGTGCTGTTGATGGTTATTTGCTCACACAGTAACAGCGGCTTCAAAAACCAAAGTCTGCAGTTACTGGGCCACTCTAGAAAGTGCACAACCTGTCCTCAGCACCTCTGGCCATTCTCCCTGGGTTTAAAATAGGGAGAGAAACAATTCACAAGAAGGGTGGTAAGAAGAGGCTTTTCCCATCTTCTCTGCTAGAGCCTCTGCGTCTGAATGTGAACCCAATATTTGATCTCATTTCTGCAAGACAATAAAACATCTGTTTTGTTCAGCCTTCCTGATAATTACTACCTAATTTTTCCCCATTGTCTTTCAAATCTACATGCTATTTTCTTTTGAGTAGCAGAGCTCTTGCTAGTTTTCAGTTTTCTGTCCTGATTATTTCTTTGTTAAGCTGCTTATAAGAGGCTCATCAGCACAGCAGTGCTGTAACTTTTCATGCACCAGCCTCCATGTTCACACCTTTTCTCCTTCAAAAATACCATGTTAGCAGGTGTTGTATTCCAGGAAACAAATTGTGGAAATCACCCAGAAGTTGATGTTACACAGCAGTTTTCTTTGCTGATATTTTTTAGAGCATTGTTATTTTCTTGGTAGCTTGTTCTTGCAGACCTGTGTTGCCTGGGAGAAGGAGGGCAGGAAGTTATTTTGTTGCCTGCAAAGTGTAAATATTTGTTCCTCCAGAAACCCACTGGGGCCAAAAAATTATTTTCTGTAACCCAAGAGCTGTCAGGGGACATTGGTAGCCTTTTCCTGCACACATGGATTGGTCTTTGAAAGGAATAAAATAATTTTCTCGCAAATTTAACCAGCTTTTTCTCTGTTTAGGAGTTGCTTCCTGAATTGGGATCGAAGCTGAATCTGAAACAGGTGACAATTTTAATTGATGTTGTCGCATGTTAAAGTGGTTTCTGAATAGAGACCTCAGAAGAGTTGTTGATAGCATCATTTCTTCTCCCCTTCTGAATAGTGCAATAACATGAGTGTTGCACCTTTTGGAAGAATCTTTCTTTCCTTCCTAATCCATTTACAACCCTATAAAGAACCTAAAGATTTCCAGTGTCAGACAACAGACTGAAAAACAAGTGTGTGTGTCTGTGTATGTGTGTCCTGTGCTTGGAGAAGGCCCCTCCTGCTCATAAACTAGTGTTTCTGAGCTTAATATCACAAGATGGAAGGGATAAAGGCTGATAAAGGTAGTGAAAGCATCCCAAAGTTATCTCTTGAGATAGGAGGAGCAGTGGGAGGGGACTGAATTGGGAATCCCAAGTTATGTTTCATTTCATTACTTGCTGACCACGAGGCTGTAGTCTGAGTTTTGTGTCTTTGGTGGTATTCTTTTATGCTGTGCAGAGGACTCAGTCAGGGAAGCTGATCTGTCAGGAGAAATAGTGCAAAAATCCATGAAATGAGTATCTCAGCCTGATTGATAGTGTGTGCCCAAAACGTAGTATGAATTTAAGTGGGGCAGACAAAGCCTAGGCAAGAAGGAGGGGCTTGGAGTGGTAGACACTTATGTTGGTCTACCAACCAGCAATTTCATCAAAGGGTACCTTTAAGCAGCATTGCCCCTAAATATCTGATCCCAGGACCGGTAAGCTGCTTTCTTTCTGTGTGCACACAGGTGTTGCTGTAAAGTATTATTTTCCGTGTCAGTGCCCAGCCGTACTGCGGCAGTGTGCTGACACGTTCTGTGGGTTGCTCTGTGGGAGCTCCTGGCCCAAGAATGTTTTGTGTTCATCTCTTGGGGCCAGGCAGGTGGCAGTTGGTGGTTTGCAAGTGGCTGGGATTGCTCAGCAGGCTCAGACCCTCTCATATGCAGAAAACTCAAAACAAAGGGCAGATGCTAATGGGGATGGGGATGGGGGATATTGTCTTCTTGGGCCAGGAGGGGTGATGCATCTTGGAATAAATAAAAAGAAGAGTACAGGTTGTGAAATAGAGTTCTCCAGCTGATTGCAGGTGCTGCTGTCATCTGAACCTAGAACGTGTGCCCATGGTGGACCCTCTCCAGAGGGGTACCCAGGTGTGCACGGGGTGGACTGAAAGTGCGAAGTCCATGTGTGCAAGCTTGGCCATGGTTAAATATCTCCTATGAGAAATCTCCTTCGGGAGTGACGAGGCCATAGACTACCACTGGACTTCTTATAGAGAGGGTTTTCTGCAGGGGAAAGTGGAAAGTGCATGTATATTGTGCAGTACTTCTCATTTCATATTAACTGGTTGTGCTTGTGCTGCTGATGTGGCTGCACTGGCTGAAGGTGGCTGCCCCAGCTGCTGACCACAGCCCTCAGATATAACCGTCCTGCTCCCAGGTCCCCAGCAGAACTATTTCTGTCAGGAGACTTGCTATCGAAACTGGCTTGAGCTACTCTGTTTCGTTTTGACTGGTGTGTGACACTCCCTTCCCCTGGAGCTGCTCCGTCTCGGAAGGGACAGGGAGTGGGGTCTCTTCCCCCTGACCCAGCAGAGTCCACACCTCTGAATAATGCTGGTTCAGAAAACCATTAAATGCAGGTCTGTGGCTTGGTTTAGGAACAACTACACTTAAGCACAGTCTGCCTGGCAGCCTAAACCGCTATGATTTTATGCAGATACCTGACCGCACACAAATCAGGGCAATTGTAATCGAGTCACACAGGATTCCCTCTTCTAATGGGCACGTGTTAATCTGCAGATAAAAGGGTGCTAATAGGTGGATCAGCCTTGCAGCTTGTCTGATCTAGATTTAAAACCAAAGCCATGGAGGTTTCTTTTTGATGCTCCAAGATAAGGTTTAGGCAGTGGTTAGGATCCCCCAGCAGCTGTGCTGAAATTCGGTAGTGAAGGGTATAATTCTGCAGCAGTGGAGGAAAGGGAGAGTAGCACCACTACTGTAGTAGTTTTTTTCAGAGCATAGCTCCTACAGGCCCTGTCATCCTCTCATGAGAAATTTATATTTCTCATAAGACTTATATTTCTTGCTTAAATATCATTCACCAGTTGTTAAGAGGCAGATGCCCCTGGGAGCTGCTGCTTTGTGCTGTTCAAACGCAGCGCCTTGGTACAAATCTCCTTACCCCTCTGCATGATGGATGGAAAGAAGAGGGTTGCTCGGTAACAGCCGCCGTGTTGCCCAGTGGCAGTGGTGGTTGGTTTATTCCTCCTGGCTAGGTGGCTTTAGTTTCAAGCTCGTACTGTGCTGGAAATGAAAGTCCTTAAAAGAAGAGAAATAATAGAGCTCATATGTCTAAGCCGGAGATGGTTTCGGGTGTCAGGAGCAAATGGCAGTTGTTCTGCTGCACTATTCAAAGCTGCCCCGAAGCAGGACCTGCAGGACCTTTGCCAGTGTCCTTGCACAGCACACAGATGGAGCTGTGGTCTGGTTTCTCTTTGGTTGTTGCTAGCTTGCTTGCTTTGGTAATGGAAAGACCTCTTAATTGCTGAGCTGTGGGAAGAATGCCATGTGCGGTCTGTCAAACCAATGCGGGGTTTGATTTGTAAGGTTTGTTCTGTATTTTTGCCTTTGGGGGAAAAAAAAGGGCTGATATTCTAGTTTTGCCACTTTTAGTAACTTCTCCCGGCTGCTGTGACAATAATGGAAACATGGTAGATCCCATTAAAATGTAGAAAGTACTTGAGTTTAATTTTTATAAACACATAAAATACTGTGTTCTTATACCAATCTAAGCAGTTCTCTTGACTATTTCTCTCATAATGGTGTCAGACGTAGTTGTGGTCCCATTTTCCAGACCCAAGCATCTCTGGAAGTGTTGTCCTGAGCCTTGGAATAACTGTCTTCAGTTTCTTGACTATTCCTTGCAATGCCCAATGTGAAATAGTGACTTTACAGCCTTTTGCGTAGGATGAGCTAATGCCACATGAGAAGCTGCAAGAAATAAGATATTAGCGACGCGGTTTCTTTCTCAGTCAGTTTTGATCCTTTCTTAGCCTCCAGTGGCCCACACGTGGTGGTTAGGACAGCATGTGAACATGCTCAGACTGTGTCCTGGAGAGTTGCCTTTGCCCAGGAGTTTCCTCGCCATACTTCTCTAAAACTGAAAACTGGTCTTGACTGTTAAATATAATTGGGGGGAAAAAGAAAAGATTGTTTTGGACAAGGATAACACACAGCAATGAAGTTTCTCTAGGATCAGGAATAATGCTTCTCACCTTTAATTTTGCTCTTTGCAGTAGAGGCCATGTAGGTGTTAGATGAAAGCATCTCTGCTCTCTTGAATGTTTGTTGGTTTAAGTGAAGGAGGATGATCTTCATCCAATTTCTGAGTGTAGGAATCTGCTTCATTAAAAATGTGGGCAACTCAAAATGTGCGTGTCCTCGTTAGTCTGCTTAGCAGATCAGTTCATGCCCAGCAGGCCACTGAGAGTCATGCATGGTCACTTCTGGTGCAGGCTTCAGCATTGCCACACTGGCATTTTCCACCTTTAGCAGAGGATTCTGGATCTTCAGGAAATGAAACAGGAACATGATAGGATTTGTCACATCAGATTGGATGAGTAGATGTTGAGTAGCAGTCAGCTCCACTGGGTTCACTGCCAGCTCTTTGTGACACCCTTTGTGCCTTGCCAGCACCAGTGTCCTCTGCTGGGAAAAGGGAAGGGAGGCCGTAAGCCAAGAAGCAAGCATTTGCTTGGATGGATACTGAGCTACAGGCAGTTTATAGATAACTGCTTGGTGCTGTGCCTTGCGCTAAGAGAAGGAAGGGCAGGAGGAACCCCTCCATCATGAAACTGGAAGAAGGTGGCATGTGACAGAAGCATTAATTGCTGTCAGCTCTGCCAGTGACTGTTGCCCACAGAGGTGGCTTAGGGCTGGGTCCTGTCCTGCCTCTTCTGCAGGAGAAGCCTTCATCTGAGGTTGTCCTTGGACAGCCTTTTCCCCAGCAGGAAACTCAGTGGAGCTAAATGGATGTGCAGCATTTTCAGAAGCCCTCTGATGGTGCTGGGGGCTTGCAGGTAGATCTGTCAGCTTTATATTTAGGTGGATCACTGTAATTTTTTGTTTCTCTTTTGCTTCAGTAGGAGTCTGTTGTGGCTCAAATACAGTCTAGCACCCGCTTGCCTCACTCCCAAATGCACAGTCTGTCTTTTGCCTTTGCTTCTTTTTTTTGGACCTGCCCACTCTCCTCTGCTGAGCAGTGTGATGTGCTGGTTCTAACCTGGGCAGCGAAGGATGCAGAATATCGGGGTGAGGAAGGGCCCAGGTATGCCTGAACCAGCTCTTGGCCAGTGTAATGGGATTTTAAGGAAGAAGAAGAAACTTCCCAGAGGACCAGTGTGCTGGATTAGCAAATCCTCTTTTCTGGGAGTGTTTAAATTTGGAGCAGGTAAAGCAGAGAATAAAAGCTCATTGTAGGAGACCAGTATGGGCTGTACCTACAGGCTTGAGTTAAGAATCTTACACAGTTCAGAGACATTAGAAATGAGAAAAGAATAAAGTTTCATCCGCTAAACACTTGTGGGAAAGTAAAATTTAATAAGAACAGCAAAGATGTAATTGTTTTATCCTGCTAACATTGAAGAAAGATGGTGAGAAAACTGAGTAACTGCTTTCAAATGTTTGCTGACCCTTTTTATTACAGTCCTTGGATTTAGTATTTTTTATGTATATATATATACACATGTGAAAGATATATATGTTTCACTGCTGGCCTGCTCAGCTTCCCATGCCATCAGGCTTTCTGAGAGATCTGGTCACCTCTCTGTGGGAATTCTTGTTCTTTAGCATTGCTGCATATGCCTCCAAGTAACAATCCAGATCTCACAAGGCTTAATTTGATTTTTAAAAACTGTTTTACCAGAATTGCCATGCAAAAGTCACATTTAACAGTTGTCATGCAGCCCTATTGAAGATTTTTAATTTATTTCCATATTGTAATTACAGGGGAAGAGAAAAACCCCAAGCTAATAACATACTACTTTTTCATTTAAAATTTGATTATGTTCTTCCAAACAGCCTGGCATGATCTGAATGTGAATTCTTGATGTTTGGGAGTAACAGCACATTTTATCAGAAGACCAGTCGCAAGAACCTGCACTTAAAGGACAAAATACGCAGCCCTTATGTACTCTTGTTGCAGCCAGCTCTACATCAGATCTGCCTCTCCCATGCTCATTTTTCTAATTTTAAGTTAAAAATGGAAAGCAGTGGATGTTCCCGGGGACTTGGGAATTCTCCGAATAATCCTATAGCCATTAGTTACTGTTAACCTTTAGATTTATAAACTAGGGACTTTTAAGAGGTATAAATAGTATTGTTGAGACTATTATCAGCATACTGTGCCCAGCACTCCTGACATACATTTTTTAAGGAATAGAACAAGTGGGAGCAGTCTCAGGAGTGATCCAGTATTCAGAAAATGATCCCATGGACACTCCATTTGCCCATTCTATTAAGCTTGTTGAAGAGAAAGTTAAAAAAAAAAAAAGTTGGTCATAGTCCATAAGTATCTACTTGGAGTGAGAGTTTTTGATGATACAGGGCTTTTTAATTTAGTTGAAAAAGCATAATGCATATAATTATTTGACAGTGAGAGCAATTAAGCATTGGAACAACATATCAAAGGATATGGTAGATTTGTCGTCTTTGAAATTGTTAATCCAAGACTAGATGCCTTTTAAGAAAAAATGTGGCAATTCAGCCATAAGTTATGGGTTTGATGCAAGAATCATTGGCAATTTGATGGCCTTTTTATGCGGGTCATTTTTGATTATCATTACAGCTTTTCTGTCTGTGACTGAGTCCTTGCTTTCTGCCAGCAGTCTGCACATGGCAGAGCTGTAATTAGGAAAATCAGTCGCTTCCCCATTTGTTCACAAGGTCGCACTACTTGAAAGCAGTGTCAAAGAGTGCCTATCTGAACCTGGACTTTAAAGAGTGTTTTTATTGCTCGCTGCATTTTATTCCTTCCTTTCTTTTGCCTGGGTTCCTCTTTCTGTTTTGGTATTTCAGCTGTTGCTTCAGAAGTCCTGTAAGAAGTACTTTTCTGCAAGTGGAGCAGCACTAAAACATTGCCACCACAAAGCTTGTAATCTGCTAACTGTGCTCTTGGTTTTCTGGAGCATCTCTGCCAAACCTGCCTCCTACTTGACAGTTGAGTGGACAGTGTATGGAGAAGTGTGGATGCAGCTGGCTCATCTGTTAAATAAGAGGCAAATCCAGTGTAAAATGTCAAATCAGATGCAGCATTTAGTCCACTCTCTTAATACAGTGGTTGCTACAAAAGGTGCAGTGCTGTGGGATGTGGAGCTGTTGGAACCCTGCTTTCATCACCAAAGGTGCTGGATAAGGTTTTGCATTGAGCATAAGCCTGAATCAGAGCAGGTGAAAGATGCCTTGGTGCCTGGGAGCCTCGCTCCAGTGACAGGGAGTGCAGCAGCAACTACAGAATTCTCTCGGTTTTCAGCAGGAGCTTGTAGCCTGCACTGTGTTTGGTGTTGCAACAGGTAGATCAGGAGTACCTGCACTAACTGGTTTCGAGTCAGCTTGGACAGGCAGTGATAGTGCTGTAGGTGAACCTGCAATGTCAAGCTAATACCTTCTTTGCCAGTGTTTTAGTGTGTGCTAGGCTAGAAGTGGGAGCCTTTGCTAAGACCTAATTGTGCCAATTGCTGTCCGAAAGGAAGGATCCCTTCCCATTGCTGCCTGCTCCTCTGAAACGTCTCTGCCAGCCTGTTCTTGTGCATGCTTGATGTGACAGCCACACCTGGGACGTGTTTCAAGGAACAGGTGTATTTGTTGCATTTGTTCTTCTCCAGAGCCAACCAAATGCCTGTGTAAATAGTGTCTGATCCTTTTCATTATCTGTAGTTCTTTGGATCTGCCACTCTGCCTCTGCAAGGTAACCCTTCACCTTCAAAGGCAGCAGCCTTCAACGAGTGAGGGAGCAGCAGACTGAGAGTGTTTTGCAGTCTTGAGGCAAAGTAACATTATGTGCTAGAGGAGGGGCCGTGTGGTTTTGCTTTGAATGTCTGGTCTTGTCTTCAAATGAAAATGATTATGCTTGAGAGAAAGGAATTAAATTTATTTTCTGATTACTTGTTTTTAATGCAGAGGCTCAATTTAACTGCATTTTGTTTTCCAGCATGCAAGTAAAGACTCCAAAGATGGGAGAGACATCAGAGATCAAAAAGAATCCAAGGAGGAAGGCAACAAAAACATCCTGGAGTTTGGGAAGCCATTGCCGTTGCCCTCTCTCCCAGGCCTTCACCAGTCACTACCTCAGAACCAGAGCTATGTGGCCACCACAAAGTCACAGACAGGTATAAAGGACAGAGTTCAGATCCCTAGCACCACCCATCTCCCACATGTGTTTGTATCCTGGAGAATAAACCCTGTGAGGAGAGATTGAAGGAGCTGGGACTGTTCAGTGTGAGGGAGCGAAGGCTGAGGGGAGACCTCATCACTCTCTACAGCTCCCTGAAAGGACATTGTAGAGAGGTTGGTGCTGGTCTCTTCTCACAGGGGATTGGCGATAGAACAAGAGGGAATGGCTTTAAACTGCAACAGGGGAGGGTCAGACTGGACATTAGGAAAACAATTTTCAGAGAAAGAGTGGTCAGAGAGTGAAATAGACTGCCTAGGGAGGGGGTGGAGTCACCATCCCTGGATGTGTTTAAGGGTCGTTTAGATGAGCTGTTGGGGGATGTGGGGTAGGGCAGAACTTTGTAGAGTCGGGCTGATGGTTGGACTTGATGATCCCGAGGGTCTTTTCCAACCTGAATGATTCTGTGACTCTATATGTGTGGCTGAGTGGGAGATGAGGCAGGTTAACAAGGACTGAAACCTGTTAGTACCTTCTTCCTGCTGAATTTCCTTTCCTGCTGGCATCAGCAGTGCTGGTGCCATAGACCTTGTCTGACAGATGCTGTTTCATCTGGACACTTCACTGCAAGTGGCTGTTGCACTGCCAGTGTGATGCTTGTGTCCTCTGCACTCCCTTCTGGTCACTTCTGGATGTTGTACAGGGTATATTCTTGCAGTCCCCTGTTAAAGCAGCCTCCCAAGTGAAGTCCAGCAGTTTCCTGCTCCACAGGGAGCACCCACCATGCAGTCCTTCCTGCGCGGCCTTGTTTCACGTGGTGCAAGTCCCTCCCAGGCGGGGTGGGCAGGTGGGTGTGCTCCATCAGACACCACCACAGCAAGGATCTTCTGACAAAACTTGTTATTAGAGGAGACACTTTCATGCCATCTTCCTATGTGATTTTCTGTCAATTCTGAGGGACTTCGTTTATCACTGCAACTGATTACCATAAACTACATCACTGTAAAGAAATTTAATCGGGTTAACAGATTTTTGGAGAGGTCTCTTCCATTGGAGAAATTTCATCATATTGGGAGATGAAGAAATGCTTTCAAGGAACAGGCTGCAAACGATAATGCTTGTGCTGAAGCTGGCTGTTCCCTGCTGTATGCTATTCTTAAAAGAGCCTGCACTAAGCATCCTTCTGATGTGTATTCACCAAAGACAACATCAGGCAGTGAGGTGTGATGACTGATTTGATTAGAAGGCCAGGAGGGAGACTTAACAAATTAAGACCCAATCAAAGTAGTGAAAGGAATCAAACAAACTTCCACAGTAAGTGTGAAATGAGGTTAAATGGCAAATGGCTCTTTATTTAAGGTACCTTTTCCCTGTGTGTTCTTCAGTGATTGTATGATATCTTTCATTGTAGGTTGGTATTATTAACTTTGAAGTATCTATTTGAGCAAGTTGGATTCTATTCAGTGTCCTACGACATCAGCAATACTTCCAAACACAGGATAACTTAAGGATTTGATATTGTGTGTGGTGATGTAAAGGCCAGAAGGAGTGTGGAGAGGATACGCAGCATTTGGATGGGTTTGCAACACTGGCAGGAAGCTCTTTGTGTGTTTGTGTGTGTGTGATCATTTGGTTGACTTGTAAATAAATTAGTTGGAGTGAGAAACCTTTTTCTCAGATAGTGCCCTCAAATGTGATTTCCCCTCAGTGCAGCCTCTACTCTCTATCCTTCTTCTTTTCATTCCTGAGAAAACTTTGGGTTTCTTTTGCTTCTCCTTTCCAGCTGCTGCAGTATCTCGGAAGAAAAAACGGAGAATGGGAACCTATAGCCTGGTTCCCAAGAAAAAGACCAAAGTGTTAAAACAGAGAACGATGATTGAGATGTTTAAGAGCATAACTCATTCCTCTGCGGGTGCCAAGGTAAGGGGAGCGTGGAGCCTGCTGGACATGTTTGTTGTCATCGTACATGTCCCTTGTCTTGGCACACCAACCCCATGTATAGGCACAGGGACGTACATGCTGGCTTGTTGCAGTCAGCATCTTCTGTTCTGATGCTGTATCTTCTCTCTGGCAACACCATCCTGTCCGTAGCAGCCTGCTGCTTTGAAAATGGCTTTTTGAGAGTGACTGTTCAGATACTAGCTCTTAAACAAAGGTTTTCCAGTGAATGTTCCCCTTTTGTCCCGTGAGTCCTGTGGGACTGGAGAGATTTCAAGGATACCCCATGTAGTAACCTTTTTGTTTTGTGTCCTCAAGGTAACTGTCTAGTGTTGCTGCTTGAGGCTGTATGGCAGAACAACTGGTTGCTTAAAAAGGTGTAGACAGAGACTCACTCCTGATCAAATTCTGCTTTTGCTGCAATCCATGCCCTGGAGTTTTGGTCTTTGAATTCAAGGAGAACAGTGCTAGGCTTTCTTGGAGTGGAGGGAAAATCCCTCTGTGATTTAACTTCTTTTTCCATTCCCTAGAAACCGTCTTGCACTCTTGGTGGAGACGCCCTTCCATGTTTGAACTAGACTGCAGGGGTCTGTCTGAAGTCTGCACAGCAGCCCTCCTCCCTTTAATGCCTCGTACAACCACATCAGTCTGGAATGACTCCTCATGGCTCCTCCGTCCCCAGATCGACAGGGTTAGGTGACACATGGCAGGCTTTCAGACTGGCCTTGCTGGCAGCATGGAAGAGCTCTGGAGGGACATGTAGTCAGCTTTCCCCTGGCAGCTTCAAGGATCCTAGCACATAGGTGGTCTGGGTTGGGTTCAGCTGCTCAGTCCTATGAATTGATGTTGTCCTTATGGCTTATGTGCTTGGGCGACTTACAGAGTGAAAAGGACCTGGGTGATGCCAGCCCTCACGTGAACGGGGAAAGCATAGATGTAGACTCTGAAGAGGAAGACTCTGATGAGTTGGAAGAGGAGGATGATCATGGAGCAGAACAGGCAGCTCTGTTTCCTGCAGATGATAATAGGACTTCTAAAGACAGCGCATCTGATGCAGACAATGCCAGAAAGGTATTCACATGCCCTGTGCAGGACTTCAGGGAGCAGGATGGGACTCTGCTTGTACACATGGGATAGGAGTGGCATAAGCTGAGACAATTTCTGGGTTTTCTTAGCCTGCAGAATGTCAGAAAGCACAGCAGTGGTAGTGAGGCTTTTTGAAGACCATTTCCTGCTCCCCCATTGTACCTGTCAGAGTCTCCCCACCTATCCCTCAGTTTCAGCCTTGCTACATAAAGTCTGTGGTCCGCTATACATGCAGAAATCCCACCACGTTTAGTTATGAGTTTCACTGAACCAGTAAGAGACATCTTCCTAATCATGCTTGTAACAAGCTGGTAAAGCACTAAAATTGGTTTAGTTCTTTTTTTCCCCAGATCATGATACATAATGGAGACATGAGGCTGGTTTTGGATAATCAAGGAAGTTAAGATTTGGTTGGAAAACTTTCTTTTGGGGTTGAGTTTTTTTTTCCCTGTGCTGTTGCCATGGATGTACCATGACCTGTGTTAACACCCTTGGAGTTCTTGTCCTGGAAATTCTGTTAGTGCATGTGCAGGCTAGGGCTGGGTGCTGGGCACAGCAGGATGATGGGGAGGTGCTCTGCTTCGAGAGACCTGACCTGACAGATTTTTTCTGTTCTTGGGCAAATGGTGGCTGCAGATTGATGATGGCGAGTCTGAGGAGGAACAAGAGTCTGGAGAGTCTGGGGAGGAGGAGGAAGATGGAGATGAGTCTGACTTGGTAAGCCTGGCTGCTAAGTGTGTCGTTCAGTCTTTGTCCTGTTGATAATACTTTTCCCTTTGCACTGCTGCCAGAAAGAGAGAGAGCAAAGCGGTGCACTTTCATGTCTCTTTGACAAAACTCACTCTCTGAAACCACCCACACACAGAGTATTGTTTTCCACAAGGTGCTTAACCCTGATCTGTGATACAATTGCTTGCTTTCTGATGCTAATTAATAGGCTTTTGTTTGTTGTTTTCAACAAGGTGTTGACTGCTTTTAATCATTTGAAAATTAGTAGAAATATTTAAGGATCCTTAAATTCTTCAGATGCAGACTTGGCTAGTGGTAGGAGCCAGCAATGTTTCTTAACAACCTGAAGCTCTGCACTGCTTTGCGGAGCTCAGGTGGAGTTTTTTCACAAAGCCGCTGGCCCAGCCCACAGCATAAATTCATACTGATCTGACATGCCACCTCATGGTACCAGATGAGCAGCTCTTGTCAGGGAGTCATACAAATAGCACACAGATAGAGAGAGAGACACTCCCTTGGAAGTTGTCTCTGTAGTGCTAGGGCAAGACTTTCACCAGCTGCTGGTGGTTTTTATTTTTTATTTTTAGATGGCTGGTGAAGAGAACATGTTTGGGTTTTTTTTTAAATTTAAATTATTGATCATTGATTGTCTCTGTCCCCCACCTTCCTCTTTACTTAAAAATTTTACTTCCTTTCCACAGCATCTCACATTGGGGAGCCAACATTTAAGGCACCCCAACTTTTCAGTCACTTTGAGAAAATTACTGGCTTAATTTTCTTCATGTTTTGAGCTGAAGGTAGAAATGACTATACCAAGTGAATTGTTCAAGCTCTTTAGGATCTTGTTCCTTGTGCTCTGACACTACAGAAGCCAGAGAGGGCCAAGGAGCAGGGTCTGTGTAGCCTGCTCCTGTCTGTGGGTAGCTGAGGCTAGTCTGTAGCATTAGCTCAAACCAAGGGTTGAGCTTGCAGTCAGGTCCAAACTCCCAAGTCATATCTTCACATCCTAGACAGTGGTTTTTGCTCTGTTCATACATGGTGAGTCAGTCAGTTCCCCAGACAGGGACTGGCTCAAACACAAACCTCTCCCCCACAAGCAGTGTGATGTAATTGGTATAAGCCACGTGGCGGGGCATAACGGAGCCCACACTCGGGGACTGTTCCTGGGGCAGTGTAGACACATTGTAGAGCTGCCCCGGAGAGCCAGGGCTCAGCGCTTTGCCTGCCTTCGCTCACTGTGGTAACAGGGCATGGTGCAGCACCGGCTTCCCATGAAGGTAGGGTCTGATCCAGCCACTGTTAATGGTAGCAGGAGGTTTTTCGTAGGCTTTGGTGGGAGATGGATAAGCATCAGGAGCTGATAGTTTTGATTTGAACGTGAATTTTGCGATTGATGTGTTCAAGACTGCCTCAGAGCGTTGGGGTGCCGGATTCGCCGTTCCAATGTTGACTTTGAAAACCCACCCCAGCCAGACAGTTGTATTTTTTTAAACCCAAACCCTGTTTAGATTCATATATGTGTCTGAATATTTGCTGCATGATTAGCCCATCCTACTCTGTACCTTGCTCAGGAAGGGGGCTGGTCTACTGCTGCAGAGTTCAATTCCCCCAGGTCCATCCCAACGCCATAAGGTGGCTCTTCTGGTGCAAGGCAGGTTTTTGTGGGCATTTTCTAGCATGACTGTGGAGCAATGTGAATATTTTAGTTTGAAAAAACCCACAATTTTTCTGGGAAGAAGCTAGAAGTGTGCATGTGTCTGCATCCTTGCATTGCTGTGTGGAGGTGCTTGGCTACTACTGCAATGAGTGTGGTGTAAGAGCTGATATGGAAGAGAAAGTGAAGCATGCACTGTTGAAATGACAGGAAATACACCCACACGTGTGCTTGTGTTTCCTTTTCGGCACTATAAAGACATCTTAGCACCACTTGATTTCAAACCCCCAGTCCTTAAGGCCTTTTCGCATAACTCAAGCTGCGAGAAGTCTCTTTCGCATGGGCGCAAAGGACTGCTGGGACGCTGATGCCAACATGCCTTACATGCACGTGGCCTCTCTGGTTATTCAGAGCTCAGAGTCCAGTGTCAAGAAGAAGCTGCTGAAGAGGAAAGGAAAGACGGACAGTCCATGGCTGAAACCCACCCGCAAGAGGAGACGGAGGAATAAAAAGAAACAAGCCAGTGTGCTAGGTAACTAATTGTGTTTTGTTCCTTAACTACACAGCAGTTAGCCTTCCAGGTGGAGGGGTGAGGACCTGAGGACTGTAAGGCAGTGGCTGTCTGCAGAGCTCGCTCTTCCTTTACAGGAATGGGCTGTATGATAAACCAGGGTGTGAACTTGCCTCTCACTGGCTGTAGCTGTTGGTGTGCACACTGTGACAGCAGAATACATACGAGGTGGCTTTATCCTTGGCATGATGGAGGAATATTTTATTTTTGTTTATGGACTCACTTTATTTTAGAGTATCCAAAAAAGACCTCATGGACCCATGTCTGTGGGGACTCATATCCCATGAGCTTGGGGAGTGTGATTAGATGCAGAAGGGAAAGGAAGAACCACCCCAGAGTGATGCTTAGTTGCTCCTGTATGAAGATTTGTCCAGCTGAATGGGTTGTGCAGGTTGTCTTTGCTTCTTCTGGAAGCACCACAACATCTGTAATGAGCTACCTCTGACCCAACTCATGGTGGACATCGTTCAGGTGGTCATTCTTGTTTGATCTAAGTTACCCAACACTCAGAGTTTTCACTGTCCTTTGTCTTCTAAAAGCTGTGGGGTGGGGAGAGCCAGGAGTGCAGGCTGGATGTGATCCTTCTTTTTCAAGAAAGGCAACAATATGGATGAAAAATTGGATAGTCTCTGAAGCGAAGCTGTGCCTTCAGCTTTGTTATTAAGGTTTCACACATCCATTGCCATCTAAGGGTTTATTCTTCCATGCCTGCTAATTGTTTTTGAACAGGCCATTTCTAATCAGCAGATTTGTGGCTACTTCTGAGCTGAGTGACCGTGTTTCAGCCTTTGGTCTGTGCCTGGGGTTTGTCAGTCATCTGGCTTGCTCCTCTTCCTCACAAGACAGTCCCTTTCTGAAGACAAAGTAGGGACCATTGATTCCTTTCAGAGCAAATAACTAATTCTTCGTTTCAGATGCAGTCTGGTTTTCTGCCCCTCAGTAAAGGTGGCAGCCAGTCTTCCAGGCTAATGAAAGCCTCTCTGGCCAAGCCAGAGTGGAAGAAGCAAAGCAGGAGAGAAAGTGAAGCCAAGGGAGTGTGAAGAGATTGACAATTCCCGTGGAGGCTCCGAGGGGTCCCCATGCAGTCTCTTCCCAGCGAGGGATCCCTATGCTATCTCTTCCCAGCAGCAGCTTTGTTCACTTAGAGCCAGAACTTGGCTTTTATGTTTTTACCCTCCCATTAAGCTGAATGTCACCTGCCTCGTCCTCTTCATGACGTACATGATGAGCCAGTTCGCTCTGCCTGGCCAGGGTGTGCCTGGAGCCCTTTGCAGCAGGTTGGAGACAGGACGATGTGCTGAGCCCCAGTTTCATCCCTCCCTTGTGCCATTTAAGCTTCCACTGCTGATGCAGTACGGCAGCAGGCAGATGTGCCTTTCAGAGACAGAACTTGTTTCATTTATTCTTTTTTGTTGTTACCTATGTAAGTGGAAGTTGAAAATTTGTCTGATCAGACAGGGAATGAAATAAGAGATCAATCGTGCCATATATATGCCCAGATATTGCATTTTCATAATTCTATGTGTGTCCGTACTCATGGCCTCTCTGAGGAGCCTGCGTACCACCTGCTCACGTAAATATGGCCCTTACACCCGCACGGGCTTGCATGCAGTTTGTTTATTTATTTTTTCTCCCAGCCTTGTAAACACGCGTGTGTTTCCATCTAGGTGCCGAAGCCTATAAACCATCTTTGGGAGGCAGAGAGGGCCCGGGCCAGGAGAACAGCATGGAGTACATGGAGGTGTCCCTGGATTCCCTGGATCTCCGGGTGAAGGGAATCCTCTCCTCGCCGGCGGGAGGTGAGTGCGCCGGGCCGATCTAGGCCGGGCTGGGCCGCTCTAGGCCGGGCCGAGCCCCGCCAGGCCGGGCCGGGGCTTTGTT